GAGGTTTTCACCAAGGAATATTCAAATTCTCCACCTTCTGCTAGATCAAGATCTAGCGCTGACACAGATCCAACGAAAGTCTTCGCTGGCAACCCTTCGGGTATAGAGAACCTGTAGCTAGCCTGAAGGAATCGAGGTGCCTCATCGTTGATGTCCAGAACTGAAATAGTGACTGTTGCTGTGGATGACAGTGAGGGAAAACCCCCGTCCCTGGCTACGACTTCTACTACGTGCGTGTCCTGCGTCTCTCGGTCAAGCTGTTTAGCACAGACTAAAATGTTTGAACCAACAGGGATCTTGAAAAAGCCGTTAGAGTCGTTGAGAAGGGTGAAATAAATTTTAGAATTAATCCCGACATCTGAGTCCGAGGCTGACAAAATCATGGCGACGTCGTTTAGGGCGTTTCCTTCATGTAGAGATATCTGATAACTGGTTTTGTCAAAAACTGGGTGGTTGTCGTTAACGTCGTCTACAATAACATCGAAAATATTCGTGGTGTTGAGACGCGGCGTTCCGGAGTCTTCGCAGAAGAGAGCTACTCGGTATTCCGGGCTCTGTTCACGGTCTAAAGCCCTGACCACAACTAGCATATAGTCGTTGTCGTGTAGGGCGTGGAGGTCAAAGAATGCGCTTTGGCTGTAGCAGAGGACAATACCGTTTGGACCAGAATCTGGGTCGAACACAGACACATGGGCAACAAGCGAGTTCCTGTTAGCGGTTTCTGAGACATGGACGTGTTTGGAATCTTGGTTCAAAGGATCAATAGTAATAACGGGCGGGTTATTCTCTGTATCAATCACGTTGACGATCACTTCTGTCTGGTTGACCCTTTGAGGGGATCCGTTATCTACAGCTTCAATGATGATAGTGTAACTGCCACTGGTCAAGGGCGTTTTAGCTGTCAGTTGACCGGTATGTTTGTCCACATGAAACAGCTCCGCTATTTTTGTTTCCTGTCGCGAACTGAGCCTATAACTTACATCAGAGTTGACCCCAACGTCACTGTCAACAGCCGAGAGAGTCATGATGACAGAACCTTGTTGCGTGTTCTCGCCCATCTGGACACTATACTGGCTCTGCGTAAACTTGGGCGTGTTGTCGTTATCGTCTATTACTTGTATATGAACCATCAAAGACGCGCTCCGAGCTGGAATTCCACCATCTTTGGCAACTAAAACAAGATTGTAGTTCTCAGTGATCTCCCTGTCTAGTGTCGCGTTCACCACCAAGTTGACACTGGAGCTGCCATCTAACTGTTTAAAGAACTCCACACTAAACACAATATTAGGGGGCTCAAAGTTGTAAGAGTGGATTGAGTTTTCAGACCACCTGTCCTCATCAGCAGCACCAGGAAGAGCATATCTTTTGCCAACTGTCACCGATTCTGGAATATTCAAAGTAAAACTACTGGTGTTGAATTTTGGAGGGTTATCATTGACGTCGAGAAGATCGACAAATATTGAATATTTCTTGACGTCTGTTTCTGATCTGGCAGCAACTCGAAGCTTCAAGACACACTGAGCCTCAAACCGGCACAGCTGTTCACGATCAAGTTTATACTTTGTGAAGAGCCCGCTGTCGTTTTCATCTACGCGGAAGTGGCTCCCGTCTCCCCAGTTCATTATGCTGTAGTGCAGCTTGCTGAAGACATCTGCTGGTATCAGAGCGGCTAAGTTCAGATCTAGGGCAATGTTGCCAACGAATGTTCCTTCTGGCTCTTCTTCTCGAAAGCTGTACGTCTTTTCTTGAGCTAACACACTTAGTGTGGTCAGATATAACACACACAAAGCTGCAACTGCTGCGCTCATGTTGCACCGTGGTATGTGGTCCTAATTTGATTTCTAGATAATTCAAAGCAGTTCGTCTGAATCTGATATCTAGATGATTCAAAGCAATTCGTCCGAATTTCATATGATCATAATTCAAAGCATTCCGTTTGAATTTGATGTCTAAATGATTTAAAGCAGATCGTCTGAATTTGAAATTTATTTGATTCAAAGCAATTCCATTGAGTAAATCGTGTCCTCATATATTAATCTAAATTATTGACCTTTTGCAGACTTGCAGCTGAATAAAATCATCAACTTAATAACATCTCCCTGGGTTATCAAATTACTCCAGGTTTCCAGTTTAACTCAGTGCATTGGCGGTGTTTAGTTTTGTAAGCATCTGTGTGTTCCGTTGCAGATTTAGTGTGTTGTAAATTCCCTCGTCTTGTCTCCAAAAATTTGTATACCTTGAAAACAGGTAATCTGGAAACCACATTTTTTGCGTTTTCTGATCTCGTCTAGGAGTATCTTCACTCTATTTCAATTTCACTTCAGGTAGCACGAGGAAATCTGTTGATTCAACAAGAAAGAAAATAGTAAAACTGAACTTAGCTATTCTATTCACTTTATTAGTCTACGACAAATTTTGGGTTACCAAAAACACCACAAAGTAACAGAGGAAAAACAAGTCATTGCAAATTAGTTGTATTTTCTTTATATGAGGTGAGTTAAGTCAAGAATTGACATCACAGCACTCCTGGAATTCCCAAGCATGCTACGTCCTTATCTTGAGCAGCCAGCGCACAGTTCCAATACTGATGGTACCGGTCAGAATCTGGTTATATGTCCGTCGTGTCTTTCCTCTGAGTGTAGTGAGCCGACCAGACTTTCTGGTTACACCCAGGTGCCTCATTCTCTCCAGACCATAATAATCTTCTTTCTCTACTGATTCCACTGAATGTTCCCAAAGTGTCTTTACCATATTTGCCTTGTCATGTATCAATTCACAAACCAGTGGTACAGATCCAGCCAATCTGTCTGCCTGTTCATTACCCACTACGCTGGCTTAGCCTGGAGAAAGGATCTAAAGTATGCTCACTACCCGTGACCTTCCCAGTGAAGCTTGCAATATATTCTTTATATAGTGTTGCAAATGAGCCAAAGAATTTGTTAATGGTTAGTGATGTGGTTTTATTAGACAATATTATCTTCTGTAGTTTTATTTCTTCAAAATTACAGTCTAAATGATTGACACTCATAGCCTTGTCGAAGTCAACGTAAAACGGTCTCCAGATAAATCGCATGCAAGTGAATCCAACCCGACATATGACAATTATGAGACTGCGTTCATACTAGCTCAGCCTCAGAGGCCGACGTCATTTACACGCTCAAAAGAAAGATTAGTTCTCATCTTCTTCTTCTTCTTCTTCTATTTGTGAGAGGGGGGTGGGTTTAGGGGAGCAATCAATGAAGAGAAACAGCACAAAGAAACTGTCAATAAAAGAGGGCGAAGTGGAATGCGATAGAAAAAAATACACAAAGCTAAGAGACAAAGCCAAGACATAAAGTCAAGACCAGGCCAGGACATGAAGCCAATCAATAAACATAAAATGAGATTAACCTTCCGTGAGCCTGTCATTACGGTCATCATCAAGTTTGAATTTAAAGCTACCAGTGAATTGTGAGGTCAGGCGTCCATTGAGTCTGAAATCTGATTGGTTTGACAAAACGACTCGTTGTAATAGTGTGCCAACGGTAATATCATGATGAAAGTTTTGGTTGTTCGTCCACGTCCGGACTTTAGTCTTGCTCCACAACCTGAGTGTTACGTGCACATTAGTTTTACAAATCTGGCATATTTGTATTCAGACTATTTGCCCCTTGCCTCTCAGGCAGAGGTACACCGACTTTAAATGATGCCTCCTTTCCATCCCTCCCCCAAATTAGTGGACTCCAACAAAATACTTTTTATGTAAGCAGCGGATCTATTCTAGTTTTCGTAACAATGAGGCCCCGAAACCGGCGCGGGGAGTCCGGTTTGTTCAAATTGCTACAACAAAGATGAGTTTAAAAAAAAAGAAGCTGTTTTCATGCTACTAACAATTCGGGTAAATAATGATAGACTCATATTTGTTTACAAACCGACTGTCACTCGATGTGCATTATGGTGGCAACATTTACTTCCGAAACATTTTCCTGGTGCCCATTTTGAGCTAGGTCGACCTAGGAGCCAGTCAATTTATTCTTTCCAAATCCACTAGGTGTGGATTCGAGCCCTATACATTCAGGTAGCCAGGTGAGTGCCAAACGCCATGACCACACTGAAGCTCTCTGGTGACTAAGTTGTAAGAGAGAGACGAAAGAGAGAGAGAGAGAGAGAGAGAGAGAGAGAGAGAGAGAGAGAGAGAGAGAGAGAGAGAGAGAGAAAGAAAGGAGAGAAAGTGATTTTAGTGAGTTTAGTTCGCTCAAAAAAAGATCGGTTTCACTATTCCAGGGGTATTCAGTTAGCAGCCAGCGGACCCAATCCGGCCCACAGTTGTCTAGCAAGTGGCCCGCAGGCAGATCATTGCCAAATCTTCTGTACACGCTAGGGCTTGGGTCTCTGACACGAGACGTTCATTTAGCAGCCAGCGGACCCAATCCGGCCCACAGTTGTCTAGCAAGTGGCCCGCAGGCAGATCATTGCCAAATCTTCTGTACACGCTAGGGCTTGGGTCTCTGACACGAGACGATCGCCATTTGTAACATTTTGGCCCCTAGGTAAACTTGGTTGAAAAGCCCCTCACTACACATTAAATTTCCAAAGTCACTGTTACCTTCACCAGTAAATGCCCACATTTGATGTTATTATTAGTTCAACGTTAGTCTCCCCGAATAGAGTAGGTCACTTTCATTTACAAATTTGTTGAGCTAATCGACTTTCCTGAAGGTTACGGGTCGCGCTCTGTTGTGTGGTTTCTGCGATGTCTTGCATTTATGTTTTCATTCCGAAAAAGAGAATACATGTGACATAGGTTGCAGCACTCTCTAGGGGAGTTGTGTTAGATCCAGTTTCTCCAAGTTTTTGAATTGTTACAAGTGCTGGCGTGCTGAAATGTACAACATGCGACATGAACGGCATTGAGGAATACCCCCGTAACCGTGTGCGGAGGTTACGGGGCTCAGGGATTACCAATGAGAAGTGAGCTAGTGTGTATATAGGCGGGGTCTGAAGAGACTAACGTCGAACTAACTGATTTTTTTAACACAGTGCCTGAACGCGGTCGCACCAGATAGACTTCATATACGAACATTACCCGACAGACAAAATTAGTAACCATGGAAATTAGATGTCTGAGAAGTGCTGTAGGAGTGACCATAAGAGATAAGATCAGGAATGAGATCATAAGAGAATAAGTCGGCACAGAACCAATTCTAAATTACATACAAAGACAGCAAGTGAAATGGTTTGCCCACTTAGAGAGAATGTCTTGTGACACCATACCATACAAAGCATACATGGAAAGAAAAGAAGGTCGTAGAGCAAGAGGTAGACCAAGAACAAGATGGAAGAAAAACATCAGAGAAGCTCTACAACAGCACGATGTGCCTATGGTCGAGGCGGCCAGAAGAGCTAGAAACAGAACCTTATATCTCCCTCGACACCCACAGCGGCAAAAGAGGAAGTGAAGAAGAAGAAGAAGACCCGACACACAGCTGTCATAGCTTTATTCATGAATAGATTTTGTAATTCAAAATTTTGCTTGGGCAATACATTTTTGCAGGAATGTTGTGTTGTGATACAAGTTAATATTGCTCAACATGGTAATCTTTCTTAAGGTTCACCTGTAAACACGACAATAGCTACTACCTCTTTGCGAGACACCAGTAAACCAAGAGAGATGTTTAGGTTGTCATGTTACCCGTCTCTTTTCGACACTCGATCATCGTCTCGCGATACTACACGATACATTTTCTCTGTCAGAATCAAAGTTTTATTGTCCGTATCAGACAAGGACGTCATTAAATGGATCTATCTATCTTCTTCTTTGACAGTCTTCCTGTCTAACAAACGTTACCCAGGTATTGAACACAATGTTACCGGTTGACTATGGTTGGTTAGTAGGTAGGCCTGCTGGATCGTCATTCTTACATCTACTCTCCCTGATCGTCTCTTACAACACGCATATCAGGTTCAAATGTTTCGTTTCGTTACTTCCCCCAAAACCTGTGTAAGACAGATTTGATTCTTGTCTTTACTCACAACTGTTTCATAGCCTAAGAATGACATTACAGCAATTAGTGCATCAATTCTTGTCATTCTCTCTCGTATAGGCTTCACATCCTTTAACTCTATAAGGTCTGCTTAGGTAAAGATTAGCGACCATAATCCATGCACAAAATATAGATGAAGAAAACTTTTTATTGTTGTTATAAGCGTTCACCTGCTGTAAACTGTGGCCAAAAGTTCTGGTTGTTCGTTCACTTCTGAACTTTGGTCTTATTCCAGAGTTTTGCTTGCACAGCCGTTTAAGAGATCAATTTATGTGTATGCAGACTTTGGTTCCTCGCGCCTCATGCAAATGCGCTTCTGCTAAGGGCTGCCGAATATATTTTGGGAATACTATTGAATTTTGTTGTTGAAATGGTACCAAAAGGGACAAACTTGTTATATTTTCTAAATAAAAAAAAAAAAAAAAAACTTTTCAAACTCCTCTATTATATGTTCATACTGCCAGAAAGCGATTTTTTTCTCCAATTTTTTCTTCTGAAATTCATAAACTTGCATGGTGTGTTTCCATCAGTTTTTGTCAGAAATACTGACATTTGACTAATAAACATCACTTTGTCTCGGATTCTGAAATAGTCTGGTCAGATCTAGCGCCATGGCGGACTGGAAAAATAATAGCACAAGGAATCGTAATAGGACGGAGGAGCAGGGGCCGACCAACACGAACATGGTCACAGGATCTAAGTGACTCTTTGAATATGAAAGTAAACGAGGCGGGAGAGCTGGTGAGATACTTAGTTTCTTTCAGGCAGACCGTGATAAGAGCGAT